GGAATCTTCAATCTTTAGAACTTATAACGTACCCTCCTAAAGTCAACGCGACATATGCACTGTACAAATAGGTATCAGTGCATGTATGTATGAATTATAACTGTATTAATAAACAGTAAAATGTAGAAAGATGTGCTTTTTTTCATATCAAACCGTCATAAATATCAAAAGAGGATATGGGAAATATTCAGTGAAGGTAAAGAATATGACTATTTTTCGTTCCATACGAACTTCAACACTAACAAACCTGTAAGTAGGTCTTATACTCTATCAGCTTTTCCGTTCCTCGATGAAGTAGTCCAATGTGTGGATCAGCCCTCTCTACAGTCTACAGTAGTCAGAAAAATACATTTACTAATTAGTCATTACATGTTTGATATGTACAAGCCTAGTAAATATACTTTTTATGAAAAAGATCCTCAATTCTAATTGGCTTAGGATAGGGCAATTGCTTTTGCAGGAATACAGTACAGTATAAATTTTTTCTCAATTTTGTAATAATTATCTGTGTTTACAATCAATCCTGAACAGCTGAGTCCCCAAAGGTAAATTATTTGTTACCACGGAGCAAAAATTACTGAATAGAATTTACCTTCTCATTCTCTGTTTTCATGTCAATATTTATAGTTTTGTTTCGCAAAAAACATCAAGTACTGTAACTTATAAAGCCATGTCTAAATATTTTTACTTTTTTTTTAGCCTGTAATTTTTCACCGTACAGGTAAACCTGCTTGGCAAATTGTTGTTTTTTTGGGATAACTATTGAAAGGTCTTCAAGATCATAATAAAACTCACTTTTTATTCAATAATTCATTAATTCTCAATATTTAACTCTTTGTTTTAAAAAAACTGATTTCTTAAAAAATTTCCACAGCTTGATCAAGATGGGTGTCCATATATGGAAACACCAGACTGCTCATGAACAGTCAATTAATTACATTCATGCTAATTTCCCAAGGATACATGCACAAGAAAGATAAAATATAAAATCATATTCACCTCTCCATCAAGTTCAAGAACAAGTCGTAAGACACCATGAGCTGCAGGATGTTGTGGACCAAAGTTCACAGTGAGATTGGTAACAGCAGCTTCTTCAACAGGTTCTAAACAAGAAAATTGTAAAGAAAACACAATCTTAATAACAATAAAGAAAGCTAGGGCACAAAATGTTCATACCTGTACGTCAGTATCTTTTTTTAGCATGTATTACATGTACTATATTGTACATCTCATATGAATCGCTGTTTTTCCATAGTTTTGGCAACCGCCGCCCGCAAATAAACACTATTAATTCTATAATATGTACAGTATTATAGTTTTCACTCAGAATTTCCATCTCTACAAAAACCTTTCCACCAAAGAGAGGTGTCCCATTAGAGAGGTGCCCCTTCCAATTTGCGGGGTTAAAATGTTTGAAAATTCACATAGGCAAGAGACTTTAGCCATGCATCTCCATTATTGCAAGGCACTTTAGTACTGTACCGGGTGTCCCAAAAAAAAGTACTCCGGTGTGATTTATAATAACTTCTAAACAAGTAAAGCTATCAAACAGAAATAACTTGCATTAAATAGAGGAAGGACTAACTTAGATTTTGATATATTACAGTTGTATTTTACTTAAAAATTTACGGAGATATTAATGTTCAAAATCGGGAGCATATTTTGGGATGTGTCTAAAATTAGCGAAAACCGGCATATCAAATATTAACTCCAGCGTTTGTTTGTTTAATGACATATCAGGCTAACTTGTATTTCAGCGAATTGTCGTCAGGGATTGTATAAGGATATGGCGTAGATTTAGACATCTTACATCTAAGCTCATTGTTTCCTGAAATATAAACGTTCGTATTATATTACGAAATATAAACGTAATGTATTTAATAGGTCTTTAATACAAACTTAAAGGTAGATGAAAGACCATTCAGGGCAGGCGCTTAAATTTTTCTTAAATAGCCTATATTTTTTATGCTTTTCATGGGTTGAAAACAGAGTTGAATATTTCTCGATTAGAGCAGGATGAATATTATTTTTTAATGAAGGAAATAATACTGCATTTTGCAAATACACATCACAGTATCAACGCTACTATTTGTTACGTTTTGTTCCAAAAATGTTGGATGTCTCTGGGGAGTTGCTTGTTATGTCTTATGGAGTTGTATGGTTTGATTGTGTTTCATTCTTAGTTTATTCTGAACTTGCCAAGATTAAGAAAAAGCAAAAAACATTGAGTGTTCTTAACAAGATTTCAGAACGTTGCAAAAGTTAGAAGAGCTTCACAATTCCATTGTGACAGCATCCCCTAATTCAGAACACGGACGATCCATGACGATCCTTCGCGATGCAGTCAGTGGTCTTATGAAATAAGGAAACGTACTCGTGCTATAGGAACACACGCGGATTTCGGACGAATAAATCTTCCTTGTATTTTGTAGATAACAATACTTTGTTTCATAATAAACAATTTGTCAAGTGTCATTTATTCACTGGTAATAGTGCATGTTTCAGTCGAGCAAATCTTGATTAATATTTGATACCCCGTTTTTTGTATATTTCAGACACATCCAGAAATATGCTCCCAATTTTAAACATTAATATCTCCGCGAATTTTTAAGTGAAATACAAGTGTAATATATCAAAATCTAAGTTAGGGCTTTCTCTATTTGATGCAAGTTATTTCTCTTTAAAAGCTTTACTTGTTTGGAAGTTATTACGAATCAAACCGGAGTACTTTTTTTTGGGACACCCGGTATATGAATGTCCAATGCTGTTACAGCACAAGGCACATTGAAAATACCAAGTGGCAAAGTAAAAGAAGTATAACCAGCATTGAGTATTAAATGCTTTTGCACAACATTTGAGCCATAAAGAAATTGCATAATCAATATGGTTTCAGTATGTGTGCTACTGCTGTATGTGTATTATATATGCTGTGCATAGGGTTTTGATAAATGGAAACTATTCCTCTAACCAAAGAACAATGTGTTTCATATAATTACATTTACTTTTTTAATGAATTGGCGGTAATGTATCACATGTATTTTCAGCCACATCTGCCAAAGATGTCCATCATGCAGCAATGTCACAAAATAAGGAGAGAGGGAATGTGGGGTATGGACCCCTCCATACTTTTCTTCAGGACCAATTTTCCAAAACTGACAAGAAACTGGGGGAGGGCGTAATCTCCTAATGCTTTCATCTAAGACACAAATTATACCAAATCTGTGGCTTTCATTTTGACATGATAATACATGTTTAATATGCATGAAAAAGTGCTTTGCACACCCTAAAAATAGACCGCAGGGTTCTGTGTAACCCTGGTTGTTCTGTGTATTCAATTCAATTCAATGAGACTCCCAACTTGTTTGGGCTATCTAACACCAGTTTTGTTTACAAATTGAGGAATTTGCACAAATAAATATCGATATTTCAAAAACAACGATATTCAATATTCAATTTGCATATCAAAAATATCAAAAGTTTTAACAAGACAACTTAATCTTAGTTTTTCGACAATTATTGTCCCTGTAAAGTTTAGAACACCTGTGTATGACGGCAATTGTGAATTCAAGTAGCAAGTGTGTGGGCAATTTAAAAGCGTAAACAGAGTAAGTGAGATCATAGGAGACCACCACCCACCCAAGCGGCAGTATATAATAAATAAATCTTTAAACATTCATTAACTGTTGTAAATCAATCTTTTAATGTTTGACAATATATCGATTTGTTTCAATATTGCATCAGCCTAATCCTGTAAATATTAAAGTGGCAGTATTATAAATCTTGTTGAACTGGAATCTCCCAGAACACGTTTTCAAACCAAGAAAACTTCAGTCTAGTAGTCTACACCACAAAGGCAGTTTATAATTCTTGGTTTGCATGGTCTTGCATTTGATGTCATGACGGCCATGTTAGAGTATTGTTAACAAAATAATGCATTTATTTAGCAGCTAATGTATTTGGAGCATGTTTTCCTCCAACATGGCCACCATATCTTACAAATCTTAAGGGACCAACTGCAAACCAACAACAAAAAGGGATTTGTAGGAAATTTCAAGAAGAATTTCTATAGATTTATTAGACGTAAGACACGTAACCAGGAGCAGTTGCAAAATACTGCTCCCGGTTAGGTCTATAATAAATGTATAAATTGTTTTACAACTCAACTACTTTCGCAAAGTCTACAATCACCGGATTAAATCTATATGCATGTCGACCATCCCTTTATGTTAATGCACCCATCAATGTAAATCCTATGGGGGGTGAGTGCAGGCAAAGGCTGGGGACTTGATTCAAGCGTTTATTCCCTTCGTCGGGAATTTGAACATCAACGTTATCCAGGGGGTGGGACATTTGACTGACATTTCTGAAGGTCCTACAGGAAGCAGTGAAGCATTGAACTCAATAAGTAGTTGTCTGTGCTATAATATACAGTACCGATCATGGGAAGTTAACAATCCTGTATCAGTGTCCTGTATCAGTGACGGGATTCCCATCCCACGAGACGAGAATCTTTCCCGTGGAACGGGAATCCGCCCTGTAGGACGGGAATCTCGTCCCTCGAATTTTAAAATCCGGATTTAAAATAAAACGTTAACTGCAACAATAAAATCGACAAATGTTAGGAGATGTTTTGTGATTTAGCCAAAGCCATAAAACGATATATAAAAACAAATATAAATAGCAGTAAATATCACAATTGAAAAATATAAGTGAAGCTTTAGAAAATGTGAATCTCGTATACAGAGTATAATTAGAGGCTGCTAGTATTTGTTACTGTAATATACTATATTTCTGAATATACCGTACGTACTTACCAGAAAGACTATAAAATGTTAGCCTGCGAACAGGCTCTCTTTGAACTCTCTTTGAAATTTGAGAGAGCCTGCAGGCCTAGCTAATAAAAACGCGTCTGTGCGTTGCTTATAGAACGACGCAGGGTTCCCATTGGTTGAAAATGAGTAGTTGGTTATTAACTACATTATACTGCCATAAAAGGTAATGAAATTTACACAACAATAAATTCAAGGTGTCAACACAAAGTGCGGAAATCGAAAAATATCGTTCTATAGCGATAAAAATGTATTAGACGAGTTGTATAGAAAACTAAATAATAGAAAAGAGAGTTTGGCAAATACAACGGCAACGTTCTTATATCAACAATAGCATCTTTACTCTAAGACAAAGGCGACTATAATTTGCATTCTTGAGCATTCTAGTCGTCGTAGTTGTTCAAACTCAAGTCGTTGCGGTGTTTATGTGAATTCACTTACTATTGCTACTTCAGGGAATTTCAGGGTTGTTTGAAAGAAAGGCAAGTGCTTTTAAAAGTTTAGTAATGTATGTTTTCGCTCAAATACAAAAGTATAAGAAATTTTGTTTTCTGCCGTCGCCTTTGTTGTTTGCCGAACTCACGAATAATGACACCAGTATTACCGACAGGCTATACTGTATATATACGGCAAAAACTTACTATTCCAACTTTCTGTCCTTGTCGAGGAGAGAAAAAGAAAAGAACCCGCTATAGCCATCATCATTTATTCGTTTGTCCTCTAATTAGTAGTGCAGAGGACCAAATGGAAGAAGCTAAGAACCTTGGTATGAGCTCGGTTTGCGTTTAATCACTTAGTGACGAACCGAACATAGAGGACATAAAATCGGGGAAATTTCATTTGACAAGTGTTTTCTTGACGCTTTAAAATATTCAAGTTACTTGTCATTTGCATAATTGTTTGGTTGCTTTTGTTATAGACGAGTCTCACGTCACTGAGATGTGGACTGGAGAAAGGAAAATACAAATTCAAAATGCACATTTTATTTTTATGCATGCATGTCCCATATAATCTTTCAGACCATTCTGGACCTCTCTCACAAACAATCCCGATATTTTGCAAAAGAACTTCAAAACTATCTTGCCCTACTGTTGGCTTGAGCAAGTTCACTATTGAAACGGACTTCTGTGTATCTCTGTATGTTACTTTTAAAGAAGCATTGCAACAACGGCAAAATTCGTTCACATGTTCAGCGTTTTTTTTGCGTGCAAATGTTTTTGGAGTTTCTTTCCAACTTGACATTACAGACTTGTTGTAAACAATCATGCGTTGAAATAGAGATTTGCGTTTTGTTTACATATATTCGCAGGCTATTACATAAGGCGTGTCTGTATTAATTTGTTGCATTGTATTTTACAATTGATTGACAACACTATAAATAGTGATGGGCACAGACGTATTTTTATTGACTAAACTGGCAGGCTCTAATTCAATTCAAAGAGCCAGTTCGCAGGCTAATAAAATGTAGGCTAGAAATCTTTCATGCTTCAATAGAACAAAAACTTTAGATTTTCGTTTAATTTCTCTGCCATCTTCAACCATAACAATATCATTTGTCCTGCTATTTGTGACACGCTATATCGTCCACCGGAAAGTATGCAACTGCATACTTTGACACTTTAGACTCTTTAGTCAGTTTACAAAACATTTTGAGAGTTTTTTCTTTCAATGTGCACACACTAAGACAGAGCAGTGAAGCATTTGGACAGAATGAACTGAACGAAAAGCTTGCGACCTTGTATCGGCTTTTATTCCACATCGATAAAATCCAAAACAGCCATAGGAATGCTTTCTTTTCTTTGCAGTGGTATTGTGGACAATGTCTGGTTTTGCTTAAAGCGTTGTAGAAACTTCCACAATCCTACTCTTGAAAGCTCAACATCTTCGCTTTCTAAAATTTGTAATACTTCCAATGGCTTATAGCCTTCTTCCTTTAATTTTACTATTCATTCCTTGCTGTTGTGGTTTAACCTTCCCATTTTGATACACACAACAAACTGAATCAAAATAGCATATTTTGATCTATCCCAAATTTCTACATACATTATTTTCTCCTTAAAGCAAAGGCTTTCCTGTCCCGCACAATAAAATCCTGTCCCGTGGGAAAGGGTTTCCGTCCCTGCAGGACAGGAATCCCATCCCAAGGGACGTGAATCCCATCCCGCAAAGGCATGTTATTTTTCCCGTGAACGGCACTGTATGTATCAATTGTTTTTAGTATGGAGAAGGTTTAGGCCATAGGAGTGAAAGTATTTGAAAAGTAATGCTTTTTTTTTCATTATTCATTATTCTTTATTTAGCAATTTTGATTAGAACACCTTTTTTGGTGTATAAAAGTGCGATTTTAGAAGTACCTCCCGCAATAAAATCATGCATAGTTCATCTTGGCGGATTATGCATGACATTTTATAGGAAGTTGCAGAAAATACAGACTACAGACTCCCTTTCAATGTGCATGTAAGTCAACAGGGCATGAAATAATGGCCGATCAATGATCGGCAGGAAATTGCTTTTGATCGTCAGAGAAATAAGGTTGCCAATCATCTTGATCGGCAAGAACCATTGTCTCAAAAACATGGTTAATATCATTAACGAACACCATGCAATACTATGGCATTATCACAGAACATATAAACAGAACGTATCCTATACTGATCAGCCAGATTTTCACTTGATCAGCAGAAAATCATGACTGCTGATCACCATGATCGGGAATGTTGGAAATGTTTTTTGGAGCCCTGGTCAATGATTTTCCCAACGTTTTATATACTTGCCTGTGCATCTTTAGATGTGTGTGTTTATATTCAGACAGATATGAAAATACCCTGGATTCCAGAGCCTTCGACAGTAAATAAGAATCGCCCCGTTGAACCAGAGCCTTCGCAACATTTCAATTTATTATTTACTGTCGAAGGCTCTGGAATCCAGGGTAATATGAAAACCGCCTCTTACCAAACAATGTTAAAATACCTGAATCTTTCAGCAAATAATAAAATTTTATAAATAATAAAAATTTGTGTGCAGGGCTTGGAACCAACACAGGTGGTGGACAGTAATCTAATACTTTCATTCCTATGGCCTTATGCTCCAGACTGGAAAGTTTGGAAATTGCACGCCGGAGATTTCAAAAATTTAATAGTAAATATATAGAAAGCATCAAAATTGCGCGCCGGAGATATCCGCCGCGCGATACAAACTTTCCACACTGGCTTATGCTTTCCCCAGGTGAGACTTTTTGACACATTTGATCAATATTGGTCTTCCCACCAGAAGAATTTACCCAAAATCTCAACTGTTTGTCAAATCCCCACCCTTTTCCCTCCCCCCCCCCCCCCTTCCCCACAGGGGATTTATATTGATAGGTGCATAATATCGTAGCAATCGTACCATTAACATCCCACTTTTTCGATTCCTCGTCAGGATAAAGAACATTTCCTGTCCAGTCATTTAATTCCCCAGGTAATTTATACTGAGGTCGAAGTTCTTCTTCAGCTTCTTCACTGACTACACGTTTCAGTGTTCTAGAATTAATTAAACAAGAAAGTAAACATGTAGGTTCCATACTTGATACTCCATCACTGCAAGTATGCATAGAGTACTGCCACGTGTTGTTGACTAATTCCTGACCATACATGTGCAAAACGTTTTCAAGTTACTAACCTAACACATGTCACTGCTGGAGTTCGTCTTAAGAGACGATTTGGTCTCGCAAAACGACTGAAACAACGTGAAAATCGTCCTATGGCTGCCGCCATATTGGAATTGCACTTCGCCCCAGTTTCTATAATCGCTAACCGCGCAATTCGTGACACTGAGCTCTACTCATTGAACTATAAATAAACTGGAAGGCTAACTCAGGGGGGGGGGGGGGG